AGGACTGGCCTAGGGGTATTTTAAATTGGTTTTAACTAAATTTTAGTAGAAGCGGCCTATTTAAATATTTATTTTTAATTATTCTCTTAAATTTTGTATTTTGTATTTGTATCAAACTGTTTTTAAACTGGCTGTAAGCCGCCCTGAGTCCTCCGGGAGAAGGGCGGGGTATAAATATAATAAATCAAATAAATCAAATCAATCTTCATTAAACTGGACATCCCCAATTCCAGCCACTGTTCCTTATACGTTTTAGCCTCCAGTTCCCTGATCATCTTTGTTGCTCTTCTGTGTACTCTTTCTAGAGTCTCAACGTCTTTTTTACATCATGGCGACCAAACCCGGATGCTGTATTCCACGTGTGGCCTTACCAAGGCCTTGTAAAGTGGTACTAACCGTTCACATGATCTTGATTCTATCCCTCTGTTAATGCAGCCCAGCACTGTGTTGTCTTTTTTTGGCAGCTGCAGCACACGGCTGGCTCCTATTTAAGTGATTGTCCACTAGGACTCCAAGATCCTTCTCACAGTTGCTACTATTACAGTTACTACTACTATTAAAGGAACTGTTGTAAATAGAGGATTACCTGTAATTGCAACTTTGGGGTGTGGGGGGGCTAAGTCTAACCTGAAAGCAAAATTTGCTGTTGACTGTTGAAAGAGTCTTATAACCAAGCACAGGCCACATTGTTTTCTGCAGAACAGCCTGCTCTGTATGAAGAACAATGAATGCAGCCAGATGAACATTTTTCCATCAGATTTACCTTTTGTGATTCCTTTAAGGGCATCGAGGACGAAGGTGATGGAAATAAAAAGGGCAATGATTTCCTCAGTGGACCTACAAAAACACACACACACACACACAACAGAAGAAGACCGTCAACCAAAAAAGGCCAAGAAAGGACACCGAGTATTTTCTAGGAGTGAAAGACCTCAAAGTGTTTTGAAGCATCTTTTAACCGGGGATGGGCAGGTAGTCCTCAAGTTACAGCCACGAGGGAGCCCCCCAAAAATTCCGCTGCTAAGCAAGACAGTTAACGGAATAGGTTAACTGTTAAGTGAATGGCTGCAGTCGCTAACTTAGTCACAGGGCTGTGAAGTGGGTTGGGCTTCCTCGCTGACTTTGCTCGTCAGAAGGTCGCAAAAGGGGATCGCGTGGCCCTGCGGCCGTCATTAAGTGCGAACCAGTTGCCAAGCATCTGAATTTTGATCATGTGACAATGGGGGAATGCTGCGATGGTCATGAGTGTGAAAGATGGTCCTAAGTCACCTTTTTCCAGTGCCGTTGAATCTTTGAATGATACTAAACAAACTGTCGTTAAGTCGAGGACTGCCTGTGTTCTGTTGCTTAAACCAGGGGTCCCCAACTTATGGGCTGTGGGCCCACTACCGGGCCGTGGCCTATTGCCACTGGGCCGTGGGACAGGCATGGGCGCACTCATCTCCCACAGACCCGTTTGCACCTGCATGCGGGTGCTAGCGCCGGCGGCTAGCGCCTACGCACATGTGCAAACGGGGCTGCTAGCCCCGTGTGGGTGTAGTTGGCCCTGTTCACACAGGCATGTGCACGCGGCCACAAATTTCCCAGCTGCTCCCTTTCCCTCCGGGCCGCCAGAATGAAAAGGTTGGTGACCTCTAGCTTAAACAAGTTCGGTTTCTAAACTGCTATCTGTGGGGCTAAACCAAGTGTAGGCAACCTTGGCTCTTTTATGACTCGTGGACTTCAACTCCCAGAATTCCTGAGCCAGCATGGCTCAGCTTGGAAACTCTCCCTTTCCCCTCAGCATGGCTGGCTCAGGAATTCTGGGAGTTGAAGTCCATGAGTCATAAAGCGGCCTAGACCTAGGTCACGGGTAGGCAACCTTGGCTCTTTTATGATTCGTGGATTTCAACTCCCAGAATTCCTGAGCCAGGATGGCTCAGCTTGGAAACTTTTCCCTTTCCCCTCAGCGTGGCTGGCTCAGGAATTCTGGGAGTTGAAGTCCACGAGTCATAAAAGAGCCAAGGTTGCCTCCCCCTGGCCTAGGTCTAGGCCGCTTTATGACTTGTGGACTTCAACTCCCAGAATTCCTCAGCCAGCATGGCTCAGCTTGGAAACCTCTCCCTTTCCCCTCAGCATGGCAAATGGGGTTTGCTCGCAGGGGTAGGTAACCTTGGCTCTTTTATGACTCATGGACTTCAACTCCCAGAATTCCTGAGCCAGCCATGCTGAGGGGAAAGGGAGAGGTTTCCAAGCTGAGCCATGCTGGCTCAGGAATTCTGGGAGCTGAAGTCCACGGGTCATAAAAGGGCCAAGGTTCCCCACCCCTGGCCTAGGTTTTATATTCTAATTCTGCACCAATTTCAAAATTTCCAAGCTTCCCGGAGTCGCGATTGTGACACGGGTGGCACTAACAGCAACAACCAACATGCGTGTCTTACCTTTTAAAGAGCTTCATGACAAGGCTGAAGTTGAAGAGAGAGTACAGCACGAGGAAAAAGCTGTTCCAGAGACCGACCCAAGCGTAAAACGCGCGGAAATCCAAATTGTAGTCGTAACAGATTCCTTTGATCACTGGAAGCAAGAAAGAAAGAGAGCCAGTTTAGACTGCTGATGAAAGCGTTAGGCTAGAGACTAGGAGACCGTGAGTTCTAGTCCTGCCTTAGACCTGCAAGCTAGTTGGGTGATTTAGGGCCAATCACCCGGAGGCCATGAGTTCTAGTCCTGCCTTAGACTACAAGCTAGATGGGTGATTTGGGGCAAATCACCAAAAGGTCGTGAGTTCTAGTCCCGCATAAGTTATGAACGTCCGCTGAGTGACTTTGGGCCAATCACCAGGAGATGGTGAGTTCTAGTTCTGCCTTAGGCATGAAAGCCAGTTGGATGATTTTGGGCCAATCACCAGGAGGTGGAGAGTTCTAGTCCTGCCTTAGGCATGAAAGCCAGCTCGGCTGTCTGCAAGGAGTATAAATCCTTCCCTTCCCCACCATCCAGTCAGAGCTGAAGAAGCTTCTTGTGGATGAGAAGGGAAATGTCTTCAAAATAAAACAAAGGAAGTCCAGTTGCCTCTTGAAAAAGCACCTTTGGGACAAAGCAGTCTGAACATCGAAGGGGGATGCTGATCAAAGGGGTGGGCAGGAGGGACGAGGACCGTGCGGCAGGCAGCATGTTGAGCCCGTCGGCGGCACTCCAAAGCCTATCGCTTGTGGGAACCCCGAAGCGCAGAGAACCCAGAAAAGTGGCAAGGATGAACTCACCGTTGATATACAGTGCCAAAGGAGCCGTGGTTAAAAGCACCACTAGCGGCTGGCCGGCGAAGAGCGCGTAAAGCAGGCCACCGATGCACTGACCCACAATCGACTTTTGCACATCTGGAAATAAAAAAAGACAACACTGGGGAAACAAAGCAGGGATTGGCTGAAGTCAACCTGTTTTTGGCTTAATGTCCTGGTTCCGACAGATGAAACTCTTCGAAAGAACTTTGAGGCATTGTTTACCTTAAATAATCTTTATTTGAGAAGCACAGCGTCACTAACACAATCGAAGCCAAAAACTGAATTCCCCTCCCCTGAGGACATAGCATCAAAGCACAATTCCCTCCTCCAATTAACAGTCATAAACCACATTCTCCAATTAGCTTGAAATGCAGGCCTTCCCTCCAGTTCTCCAGCCCGCCAATCCTTATCATCTCTTATTTCAATAACCTTGGTTCACACACTAGGTCCAGTATTGTTATGTCTGGCTCAACTCTCATGCACATTCCTCCTCCCCCCCAGCATCATCTAACTCTAACTCTTAACTCTAAGAGTAAAACATAAGAAGAAAAGGGTTGCATCTCCATCTGTTGACAAAGCAAAAACATCCGATGTGAGCAGCGTTGACGCCTGCCTTAAATCGCAGCATTATCAGACAGGGAAAAAAAAACCAGGTCCACATCCAGAGGTCCAATTAAACTGATTTATTGCTAAAAAGCTGTGGGCAGGAAATCTTTTCAACTATAGCTAGTCCTCAACGTACGACTACCATGTACCCCAAATTTCTGTTTCTAAGCGAGACAGCGGTGAAGTGAGTTTTGCCCGTTCTGCCACTTTTCTGGCCACAATTGTTAAGTGGATCACTGCAGTTGTTAAGTTAGTAACACGGTTGTTAAGTGAATCCGGCTTCCCCTATTGACTCTGCTTGTCAGAAAGTCACAGAAAGGGATCGCGGGACACCCCCACCCTCCCGGACACTGCAACCAGCACAAATATGAATCAGTGGCCAAGTGTCTGGGGATGCTGCGACGGTCCCAAGAGTGAAAAACGGTCATAAGTCCCTTTTTTTCAGTACCATTGTTAACTTTGAACCGTCACTAAATGAATGGTTGTAAGTTGAGGTCTATCTGTAATGGTGAGCACCTGCTGGGAGTTAGATAAGGGTCAAGGAATTCAACGGGAGTTGGACTGGGTTCTATTCTATTCTACTCTAATTCTTATTTCTATTCTATTCTATTCTATTTTCTATTCTATGCTAATTCTATTCTATTCTATTCTATTGTTATTCTATTCCTATTCTATTCTATTCTATTCTAATTCTTATTCTATTCTTATTCTATTCTATTCTATTCTAAGTCTTATTCTATTCTAATTCTTATTTCTATTCTATTCTATTCTATTGTTATTCTATTCTATTCTATTCTATTCTATTCTATTCTTATTCTATTCTATTATTCTTATTCTTTCCTATTCTTATTCTTATTCTTTCCTATTCTTATTCTTATTCTATTCTATTCTATTGTAAAGATGTTTCACTTATCATCCAAGAAGCTTCTTCATTTCTTGTTTTCCTGACAGTCAGAACAATTAATTAGAGGAACAGCTTGCCACCAGAAGTTGTGAATGCTCCAACACTGGAGGCTTTAAACAAGAAATTGGACCATCATTTGTCCGAAATGGTATAGGGTTTCCTGCCTGAGCAGGGGGTTGGACTAGATGACCTCCAAGGTCCCTTCCAAATTTACTACTACTACTACTACTACTAAAATTATTATTATTATTATTATTAACTTTAGACTCCTGTAGATTTTTTAGGAAGCTCTCTCTCTCTCTCTCTCTCTCTCTCTCTCTGTGTGTGTGTGTGTCTGAGCACAATTCTGAACTTATAGCTCAGCAAGATACGTTGTTCTTATCTTTTATAACCTTGGAAATCAGAAACATGGAATTTCCTGGACTTTGGGTCCAAGGAGACATGCGGATAAATAAAGCTAAGATTTCCTGGTCTGATTCCAACAAAGGTTTTTGTTTTTCTTTGGGCCGAGAAGACTGTTTTTAAGCTTTTCTTTTTAAAAATAAAAAAATAAAAAATCCTTCCTACCGCCTCTTATTTATTTTTAGAGCCGTCTCTAGCCTTAATGAACTTTTTTTTTTTTAAAAAAAAACATCCTTAAGTGCAAGGGAGTTCCTATTCTGCTCAATGCTGCACGCCGACGTTTTAATCAGGGGTTTTTTTTTTAAAAAAATACAAAGTAAATTCTGCAAATAATTAAAACACACAGGGATGTCCCAATTCTGCAAATAATTAAAACACACAGGGATGTCCCAAACGCTTCCTTATTCATCCAAGGAGGTCATAGGCAGTAGGGCAAAACTCACTTCACCAAATGTCTTGCTTAGTGACAGAAATTAACGGAGGTCGTGAATCGGGGGACTACCTGCCCTTTAATAATAATAATAATAATAGTAATAATAATAACAACAACAACAACAATAAAATTGGAAGGGACCTTGGAGGTCATCTAATCCAACCCCCTGCTCAGGCAGGAAACCCTACACCATTTCAGACAAATGGCTGTCCAGTCTCTTCTTAAAAACTTCCAATGTTGGAGCATTCACCGCTTCTGGAGGCAGGTGGTTCCACTGGTTAATTGTTCTAACTGTCAGGAAGTTTCTCCTTAGTTCTAGGTTGCTTCTCTCCTTGATTAGTTTCCATCCGTTGCTTCTTGTCCTGCCCTCAGGTGCTTTGGAGAATAGCTTGACTCCCTCTTCTTTGGGGCAGCCCCTGACATACTGGAACACTGCTATCCCATCCCCCCTCATCCTTCTCTTCGTTAAACTATACATTCCCAATTCCAGCAACCGTTCCTTATATGCTTTACCCTCCAGTCCCCTGATCATCTTTGTTGCTCTTCTCTGTACTCTTTCTAGAGTCTCAGCATCTTTTTTACAGCGTGGTGACCAAAACTGGATGTGGCCTTACCAAAGCCTTGTAAAGTGGTACTAACAGTTCACCTGATCTTGATTCTATCCACTAGAGAGACGCTCAAGCAGGATCTGCCCACTACTCAGACCCCCCCCTTCCAACGTAAACACGGGAAGGGCCACTCACCTATGACCCCCTCGGTGTTCTCGTCATTCAGGGACCCGAAAGCGATGGTTGGCAGGAGGCAGGCAAAATAGAGGAAGATCATGGTGGTGATGTATTTCCCTATCGCTTTGTTGTTGCCGATAATGCCTAAAAGAAAAAAGAAAAAAAGCCCAAATAGCGGATTAAAAACGTGGAAATGAACCAGGTGTGCGCCCTAGGGAATTCTGGGAACTGTAGTTTAACTCACAAGAGCACCAAGGCTATTGGGGGCTTCCTTCCTTCCTTCCCTCCATCCTTTCCTTTCTTTGTCCCCCCCCCATCTTCTTCTTTCCTTTCTTCCTATTTTTCTTTTCCTCCCTCCCTTTCTGCCCTTCTCTCTATTCTTTCTTCCTTCCCTCTCCCTTTCCTCCCTTCTCTATTTTTCCTTCCTTCCTCTCCCTTTCCTCCCTTCTCTCTATTCTTCCTTCCTTCTTCTCTTTCCTTCCTTCTCTCTATTCTTCCTTCCTCTCCCTTTCCTCCCTTCTCTATTCTTCCTCCCTTTCTCTTTCCTCCCTTCTCTGTATTCTTCCTCCCTTCTCTATTCTTCCTTCCTTCCTCTTTCCTCCCTTCTCTATTCCTCCTTCCTCTTTCCTCCCTTCTCTGTATTCTTCCTCCCTTCTCTCTATTCTTCCTTCCTTCCTCTTTCCTCCCTTCTCTATTCTTCCTTCCTCTTTCCTCCCTTCTCTGTATTCTTCCTCCCTTCTCTCTATTCTTCCTTCCTTCCTCTTTCCTCCCTTCTCTATTCTTCCTTCCTCTTTCCTCCCTTCTCTATTCTTCCTCCCTTCTCTCTATTCTTCCTTCCTTCCTCTCCCTTTCCTCCCTTCTCTCTATTCTTCCTTCCTTCCTCTCCCTTTCCTCCCTTCTCTCTATTCTTCCTTCCTTTCTCTTTCCTCCCTTCGCTCTATTCTTCCTCCCTTCTCTCTATTCTTCCTTCCTCTCCCTTTCCTCCCTTCTCTCTATTCTTCCTTCCTTCCTCTTTCCTCCCTTCTCTATTCTTCCTTCCTCTTTCCTCCCTTCTCTATTCTTCCTTCCTCTTTCCTCCCTTCTCTCTATTCTTCCTTCCTTCCTTCCTCCCTCCCTCTCCCTTCATTTGTTCCTTTTGTTCTTTCCCTCCCTCCTTCCCTTATTCTTCTTTCCTTCCTCTCCCTCCTGCTTCCTTCCTCTATCCCTTTTTTCTTTACCTTTCCCTTTTTTCTTTCCCTTTCTTTTCTTTCTTTCTTTCTTTCTTTCTTTCTTTCTTTCTTTCTTTCTTTCTTTCTTTCTTTCTTTCTTTCTTTCTCTTTCCTTCCTTCCTCCCTCTCTCCCTCCCTCTTCCTTCCCACATGTTACAATCCATAATGAAAGCTTTCCTCTTAATTTTCTCCTCTTCCACAAGGGATGGTTAATTGTCTGGCAGCAATTAACATTTCCATACAAATAATTAAGGGAACCTGGCATGAATAAACTTATGAAGAATGTCTCTTTAATTTTATTTTTTAAATGTTTACCCGTTTTCACATCCTCTTTGTGACCTTTAGCGTTCCCTTTTAGCACATAAGGTATTGGTTTTTTTTTACTGTTAGTGTTGTAGTTTTATAATAATATGTTACCAAGCATAGCTTTGGTTGCCTTTCATTTCATTTCATTCTCATTATCGAAATAAGCACATTTTCCACCTGATTGTATTTTAAGACAGTCTAAAGAAATTACAGATTTTCACTGATGGGTTTAAAAATTTAAAATGATTCCTGAATCAGGGAATTATCCAACATTTTCTCTTTGTGAGGGGAGGGGAAACAGATGTCACGTAGAACTCTGTCATTTAATTGAATCTTGATTACCCACAGCATATAGGTAATCCAAAACATACAACAGTGCATTTAGTGACCGTTTCAAGTTACAACGGCACTGAAAAAAGTGACTTAGGACGGATTTTCACGATTACGACCGTTACAGCATCCCCGTGGTCACGCGATCAAAATTCAGAGGCTTGGCAACTGACTCGTATTTATGAGGGTCGCAGCGTCCCAGGGTCAGGCGATCCCCTTTTTGCGACCTTTGCGACAAGCAAAGTCAACGGGGGAAGGCAGATTCACTTAACAACTGTGTTGCTAACTTAACAAGTGCAGTGATTCACTTAACGACGATGGCAAGAAAGGTCATAAAGTGGGGCAAAACCCACTTAGCAGCTGTCTCGCTTAGCGATGGACATTTTGGGCTCAATTATTGGATTTTGTAAGGTGGTTTTATTTTTGTAAGCTGCCCAGAGTCACCGTGAGTTCCGGCCATATAAACTTTCAAAACAGAGAATAAAATAAAATATATAAAATAAAACAAAAGCAGTGCTAGAAGGGAATGTGGTTTGTGGGGGGGAGGGGGAGGAGGAGGAGGAGAAGAACTGTGGGGTCCTTGCTGCTCTCTGAGCTCGGTGGTTTTCTTGCAGACATTTCATGACCCAATTAGGTAACATCATCAGTGCTAGAAGGAAGTGAGGGTAGAGGAGGAGGAAGAAGAAAAGAGGAGGAGGAAATGGAAAGGGGAGGAGGAGGAGGAAGTGGAAGGGAAAGGAAGAGGAGGAGAAAGGAGAGGAAGAGGAAGAGGAAGAGGAAGAGGGAGAAGGAGGAGGAGAAGAAGAAGGAGAAGGAGGAGAAGAAGAAGAAGAAGAAGAAGAAGAAGAAGAAGAAGAAGAAGAAGAAGAAGAAGAAGAAGAAGAAGAAGAAGAAGAAGAAGAAGAAGAAGAAGAAGAAGAAGAAGAAGAAGAAGAAGAAGAGGAGGAGGAGGAGGAAGGGGGAGGAGGAGGAGGAGGAGGAGGAGAAAGGAGAGGGAGAGGGAGAAGGAGGAGGAGGAGGGAGGAGTAGAACTGTGCGGTCCCTGGTGCTCTCTGAGCTGGGTGGTTTTCTTGCAGACGTTTCATTATCAACCTAGGTAACAGCATCAGTGCTAGAAGGGAGTGGGGTTTGATGCAGGTCTTCAGTGCACCTGATAATGTCACCTAGTTTGGTAATAAAACATCTGCAAAAAGCAACCAAGCTCAGGGAACACCAAAGACCTCTCAAACCATATTTAAAACGTGTGACTCTGATCATGAGATAATACTATTGGGTGCGGGATTATAATACCGTGTTTTGCCGCCCCACGTAAACCTCTTGGCACACGTGGGCAACCCTTGAGGTGGTCAGAGGGCATCCCCTTTTGGCTGAAGACTCGAAAGCGATGAAATTTTCCTTTCGACAAGGCCGAGTTGTCAGACAAACTGGTAAACAGGACACGGCACAAATCTTCCCCCCCCCCCCCATAAACAGCAGCTCACCTACCGTCAGTGTAGTCCAGAGCGTAGACTGGAAACCTTCTAGCAATGTCATCAAAAATCCCCTTGCCAACGTTGAAGAACTCGTGCAGCTGAAGGGAGGAAGGAAATGTCATCTCGGTTCAAGTATGCTCCTCTATTGTTGGAGGCGAGGGAGCGCGCAGGCCTCCGCCAGGCCGGCGGGACAGCCCGCGGGCGGACGGGAATTCAAAAGAAATGATGACGGGGCACACGGGAGGCCAGACGGCCAGAGAAACGGGGGGGGGGTGTCCTCCAAAACGGCGTCGGGTCTCAAGATGCACCGCAAAAGGCCAAAGATGGCCTTGCCGCACGCAAAGCCATCAAAAAGCACCGTCAATGTGAGGGGGGGGAGTTAATTTTAGGAGGGGGATATTTGAAGCTCGAGGTTGAACTGGGGGGGGGAGGTTCTGGGTGCCCTCGGAGCTTGGTAGTTTTCTTGCAGACGTTTCATGACCCAACTAGGTAATGTCACTGGTGCTAGAAAGGGGAAAGAGTTGTGGACAGGCGAGAGGAGGAAGGAGGAGGGAGGAGGAGGAGGAGGATGCTCTCTGAGCTTGGTGATTTTCTTACAGACATTTTATTACCAAACTAGATAACATCATCAGTGCTAGAAGGGAGAAGGATTTGAGGACTAGTGGAGGAGGAGGAGGAGGGCGACTGTGGGAACCTTGTTGCTCTCTGAGCTTGATTTTCTTGCAGACGTTTCATAGCCCAACTAGGTAACATCATCAGTGCTACAAAGGAGTAGGGTTTGTGGAGAGGAGGAGGAGGAGGAGGAGGAGGAGGAGGAGGACGACGACGACGACGACGACTGTGGGGTCCTTCGTGCTATCTTAACTTTGTGATTTTCTTGCAGACATTTCATGACCCAACTAGGTAACATCATCAGTGCTACAAAGGAGTGGGTTTGTGGAGGAGGAGGAGGAGGAGGAGGAGGAGGACGACGACGACGACGACTATGGGGTCCTTGGTGCTCTCTGAACTTAGTGGTTTTCTTGCAGACATTTCATGACCCAACTAGGTAACATCATCAATGCTACAAAGGAGTGGGGTTTGTGGAGAGAAGGAGGAGGAGCACTGATAACGTTATCTAGTTTGGTAATGAAACATCCAGGAGAAAACCATCAAAGTCAGAGAGCACCAAGGAGTCCACAAAATTAATTTTGCTTTCTGCCGTTTGCTGGCCGGCTGCTCACCCCTCTGTCTCTGGGGGTCTCTTTCAACCCACCTATTCCTCCAGGTGAGGTTATGGAGCGGACCCTAAAAATTAAACACGCACAGGTAGCCCTTGACTTACAAGCACTCATTTAGTGACCAGGAGAAGTTGCAGCGGCACTAAAAAAAAAATCTGACTTACGGCCGTTTTTCACACGTTATCACCCTTGCAGCATCCCCAGGGTTATTTGATCGAAGTTCAGACGCTTGACAATTGACTCATACTTATAACGGTTGCAGCGTCACAGGGCCACGTAATCCCCTTTGGTGACCTCCTGACTAGCAAAGTCAATGGGGGGGGGAGCCAAATCCGCTTAACGACCATGTTACTAACTTAACAACTGCAAGGATTCGCTTAAGAACTGTGACTCGCTTAACCACCATCTTGCTTAGCGATGGAGTATTTTGGGCTCCGCTGCGGTCGTAAGATGAGGACTACCCGCAGAACCTCTTGGAGGACAGGGGTAGGCAACCACGGCTCTTTTATTACTCGTGGACTTCAATTCCCAGAATTCCTGAGGCAGCATAGGGAACTATGATCCCTTTATGACTCGTGGACTTCAACTCCCAGAATTCCTGAGGCAGCATGGCTCAGCTTGGAAACCTCTCCCTTTCCCCTCAGCATGGCTGGCTCAGGAATTCTGGGAGTTGAAGTCCACCAGTCATAAAAGAGCCAAGGTGGCCTACCCCTGTCTTAGGAAAACACCTGCCACCCTTCTAAGGGACCACGGCCGCATTTCGAGGACCTGAGGCACGGCACCAGCTTCCCTTATCCTCCTGTACCTTCAGAGGCTTGGGACCATGGGCTCTGTGGTCCTCAGTCATGGCCGAGGGCCTCTGGTTGACCACCATCAGCAGGTGTCGCTGGTGGACCAAAGCTTCTTTGAATTCTTCTTCGGTTTTGGTTTCCAGAAGTTTCTGCCGGAAGGTGATGTCCGAAAACATGGTGGCAAATGTCCGGCCCACTTCGGTGGCTGTTTTGGTACTTTTCTGAAGAAGCAAAAACAAGGAAAGCAAAAGAGATGTTAATGAAGAAGGCGAACATCTACATCAGGGGTCCTCAACCATGGTGACTTTAAGACTTGTGGACTTCAACTCCCAGAATTCCTCAGACGGCGTGGCTCAGCTTGGAAACCTCTCCCTTTCCCCTCAGCGTGGCTGGCTCAAGAATTCTGGGAGTTGAAGTCCACGAGTCTTAAAGTCGCCATGGTTGAGGATCCCTGATCTACATGATGTTTTATGACATCTCCATCTCCTTCCTTCTTTGTCGTGGGTTTAAGAAAAACAGCTGGCCCAGAGGATGGCAGATCCTTCAAAGGACCTTGGTGGGCTTGGTGGAAGCTGTGCAGCCTAGAACATAGAAGGGACCTTGGAGGTCATCCAGTCCAACCCCCCGTTCAAGTAGGAGACTCTATACCATTTCAGACAAATGGCTCTCCAGTTTCTTCTTCAAAGCCTCCAGTGATGGAGCATCCACAAACTTCAGATAGTTCTCACAGTCAGGAAATTTCTCCTTAATTCCAGGTTGCTTCTCTCCTTGATTAGTTTCCATCTATTGTTTCTTGTCCTGCCTTCCGGTGCTTTGGAGAGTAAGATGACCCCCTCGTCTTCTTCGTGGCAGCCCCTCAAAGATTGGAAGACTGCTATCATGTCACCCCTAGTCCCTTCTTTTCCCTAGACTAGCCGTACCCAATTTCTGCAACCCTTCTTCAAATAAGATCTCCAAAAATGTGCTTTAGATTACAGAATATAAAATAATAAGAGTTGGAAGGGATCTTGGAGGTCTTCTAGTCCACCCCTCTATCCATGAAGGAGCCCAAAGCCTTTCTGAACAAATGGCTGTTCCAATCTCTTCTAGTATTTCTCAAACTCGGTCAGTTTAAAACAGGTAGACATCAAGTCCCAGATGGAATTCTGGGAGTCGAAGTCCTGAAGGCAGGACAAGAAGCAACGGGTGGAAACGAATCAAGGAGAGAAGCAAGACTAGAACTAAGGAGAAACTTCCTGACAGTGAGAACAATTAACCTGTGGAACAACCTGCCTCCAGAAGCGGTGAATGCTCCAACACTGGAAGTTTTTAAGAAGAGACTGGACAGCCATTTGTCCGAAATGGTGTAGGGTTTCTTGCCTGAGCAGGGGGTTGGACTAGATGACCTTCCAACTGTTATTCTGTTATCCTTCCTTCCTTCCTTCCTCCCTCCCTCCCTTCTCCAACACTGGAAGTTTTTAAGAGACTGGACAGCCATTTGTCCGAAATGGTGTAGGGTTTCCTGCCTGAGCAGGGGGTTGGACTAGATGACCTCCAAGGTCCCTTCCAACTCTGTTATTCTGTTATCCTTCCTTCCTTCCTTCCTTCCTCCCTCCCTTCTCCAACACTGGAAGTTTTTAAGAAGAGACTGGACAGCCATTTGTCTAAAATGGTATAGGGTTTCCTGCCTGAGCAGGGGGTTGGACTAGATGACCTCCAAGGTCCCTTCCAACTTTATTATTATTATTATTATTATTATTATTATTATTATTATTATTATTATTATTATTATTATTATTATTAGTCTTAAAGTTGCGGAGTTTGCAGACCTCTGTGTTGTTAGGTCATCACTGTGGGCCGAAGAGTGACACAGACACTTTAACAGAGCAAGGTGATATTTCCCCACACGAAGCTCTTTCACCCACACTTGAAACAGGAGGAATTTGGCCTGGAAGTGGCACCCAGGCAACTCCCACAAGCCCAGGAGGAAAGCAAACGTACCATTTTTGGAGGCGCGAGCACCAAAATCACGAATCTCACTTCACAGGAATTCTCCCCCCAGTTCTGGGGTCTCTCAAGGCGGCTGATGCAGACGTGACGGCGCTGGAGGGATTTTATAGTGCAACTGTCAAAACAAGATAGGGTGATTTCAGCGGGGTCGGAGAGCGAGGAGATGGTTGGGGTCGCCTTCTGGGAAGGACGTTGGCTCGGAAGGAAGAGATGAGGGTTAGACCTTCTATGGAGATTCTCCGTCATGCAGGACACAGTTGTCCCCAAGGTGCTTTTTCAGGAGGCAACTGGACTTGGTTTTTTCTTTGAAGACTTGAAGGCGTTTCGCTTCTCGCCCAAGAAGCTTCTTCGGCTTCTTAAGAGCCGAAGAATCTTCTTGGAGGTCTTCAAAGAAAAACAAAGGAAGTCCAGTGGCCTCCTGAAAAAGCATCTTTGGGATAAGGTTAGCCCTCGTTTCCACGATGGGCCAGTGAACAGGGAGCTGACTGTGGAAGACCCTCCTAATTTGCACAGAAAATGTACCCCTCATGCAGCACACGCTGATTTCTTAGAAGGATCATGAGGAAGTGACCCATTAGCCCCCCTTGACAAAAATTAAGAGGAAGGTCAACAGAGATGACAGTTGGTTTCTCTCGTCTCTGTGGGTTTCTGTGTACAAACATGGGGTCCTGACTGCTCTCTGAGCTTGGCTGTTCTCTTGCAGACATTTCATGACTCAACTAGGTAACATCATCAGTGCTAGAGGGAAGTGGGGTTTAGGAGGAGGAGGAAGAGGGGGACGGCGACAACGACTGTGGGGGTCCTTGGTGTTCTCTGAGCTTGGTAGTTTTCTTGAAGATGCTTCATCACCCAACTAGGTAACATCATCCGTGTTGGAAGGGAGGAAGAAGGGAGGAGGAGGAGGAGGAGGAGGAGGAGGAGGAGGTGGTTGCCTACTTCTGGTCTAGGTCAGAGGTAGGGAACCACGACTGCTTTATGACCTGTGGACTTCAACTCCCAGAATTCCTGAGCCAGCCATGCTGGCTCAGGAATTCTGGGAGTTGAAGTCTACCAGTCATAAAGTGGCCTAGGCCTACCTCTGGCCTAGGGCCATATTTGCTTCCCTGGATCCTGAATTTCTCCAGAAATGTCTCTTTTTCAATCCCTCTAAAACCCAAGCTGGATTGGGTGAAAATTGAATGTCATCCTTCTGCCCGCTGTCCAGACAGGAACCACTTAGCCATGCCAACATCCAAGAACTTTTGATAAGGGATTAAGTCGTCAAAAAAACCTAAAAAACCAATTATGAAAGAATTTCAGCCACTCACATGTATCTTTGGAGCTGTTTATAGTCAATTCAGGGTACAAATTTTCACCTCTTTCCCTGGCCCAATCCAGAGTGTTGGATTGCCTTCATTTTGGGGGGCTGAAAGCCCAGTTTCCATCTGCTCTCGTTTTGTAATGGACAGCTCCGCCGTCAAGTTTTATTTTTTAAAATTTTTTTTTACTTCTGACAAATGTGAGAACTTCACTTCGCACTTCAGACGCCTCTCATAAAGCCTTGTCAGGACCTTGGATTTCATCCTTAATGTAATTTTATTTTTCCAGCCCGGCTATGACATCTCCGCTGTTGCCAGCTTCAGTAGACAGCAAGGGCTTGGGGGTGGATGATGGGTTTTCAGGTCACTTAAGGCCTCCAATAAGATATGAATATTCCAGATTTACAGTGGGTGATTGTGTCACGCCAAATCCAAGAGACCCCCCGCATTACGGGTCATCCTCCACTTACAACAGTTTGTTTAGGGACCGTTCAAAGCTGTAATGGCACTGAAAAAAGTGACTTGTGATCGTTTTTCACAAATAATAATAATAATAATAGTGGACTGGACTCAAGCAGAACTAAAAGCAACGGATAGGAAGACCAGAAAAATAATGACAATGAATCATGCCCTTCATCCACGAAGTGACATTGACAGACTTTATCTACCAAGGCAAATAGATGGGCGTGGAATGCTGCAAGTACATCAGATAGTTGAAGAAGAAAAAATGGCTTTGGAAGAATATCTGAAGGACAGAGATAAAGATGCACTGAAATTAGTATATCAGGAAGGTTTACTAACTACTGGAGAGACCAAACTGTCCTACAAGAAAGACCAAATGAAGAACAGAATAGAGGCATGGGAAGACAAAGCACTACATGGCTAGTACATTAAAAAAATAGCTGGGAAAGCAGATAATAACAAGACCTGGCAATGGCTAAGA